CTCTGATAAAAATAAAAAATGATAAGATAAAAAAAGATAGAAAGATAAAAATAAAACCTGTGACCTCTTGTGAAGCTGAACTAAGATCGTCTAGCCACTATCCTAAAACGTGTCAACTCGAGAAACGGCTGCCTAGATGGGTCGACACATCTATGGAAAGCAAAATGCCCCCCCCCCCCGTCGACAAACTGCGCCTCAGAAAAAGCGCCCTTTCGGATAGAGCTTTTTGAAATGGAATCCAGGAGTCTCTTCTTCCAATCTTGCTACTGAATACCCTGTTTGACACAATTCTGTAACCATTCTGTAACCCCTGAAATGTGGAAATGGAAAATAAACGGACCCGGATGCTCTTCTCCACTTGAAGTGCGTACGGTTGATTTTGGTACATTTGAATCTCTCGAATCAAGTCCGATATTCGACGACACTTCAGAAACTGCACCAGTACTCGTTTGTTTGATGCCGGAGGTGACTGGGGATCGTAGGTGTCCTGTAACTGAACCGAAACGATTCTCCGAGATACCACAAGTTCGCTCAGCACAGTAAAATAAATAAAATGAATTTTCTCAGCTTTTGATTGAAAATACAAGGACGAAAGAGTGGACGAAGAAGTGAGAGAACACACTGGCGTGGAAAAAGCGTTCAATCTATGGGGAACATGGTCCCGATCTGCTCAGCCAGTCTTGTGAAACTGGCCCCTAGCATTATTTTACGGTTCCAATTGCAGGGTGAAGCATCGTTCGGAGAATCCTTTTAGAAGGAGGGGGGGGGGGTGCATTTAGTAGGGAGGTGGGGTATAAGTTGCTAAGTTGAATAGGTTGTGTCTATTTGATCGTTGTACGGCTCTGATGAAAATTCATTTGAAGCAGGATAAGTTTTTTTCGGTTGTTGAATTATCGCAATTTTCGGTCCGCGCGCTACTCACCCTCCCCCTGCCTGCCTCACAAACCCTTCCCCTCTCTTCTTGGTGCCTCCACAGAAGTACTATCCATCTAATATTCTGCTAGTAGTTGAAACTGTACTTGTCTGATTACGAGTTCCCCTCTCCCCACTACTCGATGGCTTTCTAAGAAAACTGGAAATTTCCTTGCGAAATCGGCAGGCAACTGAGAGGACTTGGGGAGATGGTCGGCAAGATGAAAAAGAGAGGGGGGTCGTATTGAAACTGCCACTTCACACATCACGATGTCGTACCCGGTTTGAGTCACGAATTCGGTTTGGCCCTTGTGATTTATGAGCTACCACTTTACCCATGGAGTCACTGCACATTCAGCCGAACCTTATTGCTTCTAGGAGCAAGGTACAGCATCGTTGGGTGAAACACGAGGTGGGCGGGGGTCGTACTTGGCCGCTGGGGAGGAGGGGATCGTTCTGACACCGCCACGATGCTGCACCATGTCCAGGAGACAACCGAAAAAAACTTTTTCCAATAGCTTTCAGCGACACAATGCAGCAAATTTATCACGAGTATGCCCAAAAGCGGTTCGAAGTGATAAAAATGTCCCCCAAAAAAAGTTCAAACTAACGATGCCTAAAAGAGATCTGACATGATCAGATCGCCTGCTAGAAGTAGGCGGGGCACTTTTTGTCAAATTTCAAGCAGTACCACCTACCAGCATAAAGTGGTCTCTTCCCCTATGCCAGCAGCAGCTTTGAAAGTCAGCACCTACTGCTGATAATAAGGTTCGATATCCCAATGATAGAAAACGGTATATTGGTCAGAAAGCAAAAACCACGAACTAC